TTATTTATTTATTTATGTGTGTGTGTGTGGCCAGCTCAGCCCACCAGGGGGCGGGGCTGGCTGGCATGTGGTGCTGGAGGATTGAACCGCGGTCCCTCTGCTTTGCTCAGCTTAGCTTGTTCTAAGTAGGTGCTTTAGACCACTGAGCCATCTCACCAGCCCCAGGGTCTGTTCTGACAAGGAGCGAGCATCCAGTTTTCATGAGATGACAGAAGTTGCAACCTTGCTAGAGTAGCTGGCTTATTGATGGCAAGTGTGACCACAGGGCTTGAATGAGAGTGCAGGGCACCAGGCTGTAGTGTGCAAGAATCCATGACTCCTATTCCTGAATTCACACTCAGGTCCCTCTTTGCTTCCCAGTGCCCATGCCTCCACGATCACAAGTGCTATCCTTACTGCCATTCTGGAGAGAACTTTGATTTCCTTTAAGAGTGATTGAGTGAAAAGGGAAGTCCTGTAGAATGTCTCCCTCGAATGGCCTCTGTCATTTTTGTATCTGAGAGCTCAGAGCCATGGACTCCCACCATGCTGTGTCACCCATGCCTTGCAGAGCCTCTGAACTTCCTAGTATTCAATAAAGGCTTGTTATTTGCTACCTCTTCTGGCAGCTGTCTTTCCATAGATCCTGTAATGCTGCATCTCTGGGTGGTGGTCTTTAGTTTCAGGAAGGGTAAGCAAAATCAGAATTCAGATATAATGGAACAGAGAGACTGTCATGCCAAGAGCTATAGATAGATGAGAGGTGACCACTGCAAGATCTCTATGTGGGTGGATACACTGGAAAATTGAGTCAAAGATATACCCAGCATGGGTTGTTTAGTTATGCTAAACTCTCTTAGACTTCAGGGTTAAAAGGAATTCTTGTGGCACACTACATTTTCATACTGCTTGCATTAGTATAGCCCCTCACTACTTACCACTTCAGATACAGTCAAGAGATACCCTTCTCTGTACCCCTGTTCTAGCTAGTGAAGGATGGAGACTGACAAGGAAGGAGTACATGGGTACACATGAGGCATCTTTTATTTTTTCTTGGAATCTCTAGGAATACCATTTAGGCCTGGGATCCATCATTTCATAGTCATAGCCACTGGAGACTCTTGTGGACCTAGAGTTTTATGGCATATGAGCAAGTGGGTAGCAGTTGATTTCTTCTGGTAGCTTCCATCTAGAATTCCAAGTAGGAGATAGGTCAATGTATCTCTTCACTGTATTGAGATAGATGATAGAAAGAAAGACAGATAGACACCTTATCAGTGCTAAGAGAGTTTACTGTCTGCTCCTTCTAGGGGTCTGCATGGAAGGCTCCTTCCTGGCCCCAAGTCCTGTTGAGATTGGAGATCTCAACACATTAATTCAGCTCTGGCTAAACAAGGGTGGCTGTTCCAAAAATGTCCAGATGCCCTGGTTTTCACGCAGATGCCCATCCCAATGCTTGGCTCATCCCCAGAACAGCAAGAAGCCCTGAAGTCAGCTGGAGTTGCATCATTCTCCGGTCACCATCTCTATAAATCTGAGATGTCTTTCTTGCTATGCAGTTATGTATGGGCCTGTGAGAGCCAGGTAGGTTAACTTTGAATGACACAATACCTTGAGGGTGTTTTCTTCCACTGCTGCTGCTGCTGACAAGGAAAGCCAGAGCAGAATTTCCCCTGTACTGATCTCTGGGGTCAGAAGAGAATCATTCTCCCATTTCTATACTTCCATGAATAATTAGAAAGTACCTGAACACTTGTAAGGGTGAGCCCCTGGATGTGGAAAGAGAGTAAGTTGACCCCAATATTCAGTAACAGCATTTTCCTTTCCAAGCCTAAGATTTCCAGGGTCCAGGCCCAGACCCAACAGTATAACAATGCTGTTCTCAGAAGTCTACTTCTAGATTCCAGAACTTACTCCATTCTAGTGCAGCTTCCCCTTTTCCCTACCCCAGATTGTCCAGAACTTTTAAAATCACCTCCAAAGTCTGTTTTGTTTGCCAAGAATAGTTGCCTATTTCAAATCTTGTCCTTTTTTAAAAAATATACAATAGTCATTTTGACCATGCAGAAATTGTTGTTGTGGATGCCTAAGACTCTCCCATGCAGTAATGATAATGAAAAAGAATTTCACAGTATACCTCTCACTCCAGGAACAGCAGGGATTTCTGCAAATCAGGATGGGTTTTCATTTGATTCTGAGTCTAGACAATCAGGGTTTATTGCCTTTTACCTTGCTGTCTGATGCCAATTTCTGGGATGAATGGAAGCAACTAGAAATTAACCCTTAGAGCACAGAGCAGAGGGTGGGGAAAGAACAGATTTCTTATTGGGGGTTTCTATCTTGGCCATCTTGGTTCTTTTGGATAATAAGGGGTTTTCATAGAGATACCTTGCTGAATTCCTTGTCTTTTCATCTATGCCCTCCCACAGGACTAGGCCCACCAAGGACTTGCTAACATCTCCTTGGAAAAACAATTCTGCTCCAATAAAGGAAGGTTCCTTGAAAAGAGATGTTCAAAGTTCGCCAGGTCTCTTGAAGGGCACAAGTCTTATCTGAGGTCACTCTGTCCTGATGCTTTGGCAGGGATTTAGAAAATGCAGAAGAGACTCTTTATTAGAGGAATGAAGGCACAGATGGATTTCTAATTGATTTCCTCCATCTCTGCATGGCTCTGACCTGCACCTAAGTGGTTGGGACCCTGAAAAGCGATAATGCTAGCTTGCAAAGATCTATTATTTCCAACCAGTCATAAAAATGCAGAGTCAATGCCCAAGCAAGGCGGGAATGAGGTAGGGAAGGTGCTAAGACAATTTCTGAGAATATTCATGGTGGCAAGAACTGGAAGATTGGCTGGAACACAATGTGAGAAGAAATGGAAGAGATACTCTGTTCTGATGCTCTTTAGTCATTGGGTGATGGCGACATCTGACTAAATAGATGAGAAGAAGGGGAGCAATAGGAAATAGAGAGTTTGTGCCTTTCCAGCAGCAGCTGTGTTCAAACCAGTGTGGGAAAAGAACTTCTGAGTTCTTTGGGTAGTCTCCAGTAGGTGATGAGAAACAGACCAACTGGACAAATCTAAGATGTGTAGAGACACCTTCAAAATGTCACTGTGGGGTCGGGGTCTCTTAGATCTGCCAGCTTTATTCTGTTCCCTGCCATGTGGATATGAAGCAGATGCAGAATGTCACCCTTTGGGGAAATCAGGTAGATCTCACGGCTCTGTCTTCCACGAGGCTCTGAGTGGCGTCTCTCTCCCGAAGAGAAGTGTGAAAGTTCTTTTGCTATTTCCCAAGAATAATCTCTTCCCTTCTGGCATCTCTTTTTCCAAAACCTTTGAATTAGTGGCTTTCAATCATTTTCTTCAAGATAAGAAATCCTTTACTTGTACCCTGTTTGCAGAATGATCAGTTCCTGAGGGATGAAACACTGACAGCTACATTGAGGTGCATATCCTAAGGGAAAAGGCGAAGGGGCCTCTTCTCTAGTGTGAGGCATGGGGTCTCGGTGGCTCTGAGCAGTATCCTCACTTGAAGGTGCAGAGCAATGGCAGGGATCCCTGAATGTCCATCCATGTCTGCACTCACTGTCTCTCAGGGGTCAGCACCAACTGTCCCTTCCAGAGTCATCTCCTTGGGAATCTCACAAGACAGCACTCTGGACCTGTCCAGTGCCAGTTCTTTCTTTTCACCCAGTGCCCACTCAGTGGAAGGATTTTTATGCCTGAAGTCACCTATTTTCCTTTGCAGATTCTCAACTGTAGAGGTCACATTATCTCAAAGTAGCCTCAAAAGGGATCCTGCCCCAGACCATGAAGACCACATGAAGGCTTGGATGGGACACTAAGGGGTAGATGATAACTTCTAGATGGTTCTCTCTCAGAGAGCTCTCAGCAGTCATGGCCTCTGACAACCAGCCGGCATGCCTCCTCCTGTCGTGGTCCCCTCAACTGGAAAAGAGCTGCATGACACACTTACCTCCATGAAGGGGAGAGGAGCCCATAGGCTACTCTGCAAGTCCACAGCTGGCTGAGCGTTCAACAGCAGATGCAGTGAAAGACTGTGGAGGCATCCCGGCAGCATGGGTCCCAGCACCACCCCCAACCCGCCACATCTAATGCCAGCTGGAGAGTGAGGAGTGGTGGGGGTCTAGCAGCAGGAAGGGACACGGTCATGCAGCACACCACATTTCTTTCTTTTTGCTCTCCTCCCCACCCTCCAGGGAGTTTCGACATTTCTAAGGCACTCTAGGGGGTGAAGGGTGGGGACAGTGCAGAGGATGGCAGTCACTAGACAGCTGTAGCTCTTGTGGGACAGCAAGGAGTGGAGGCTGCAGTGCTGGAGAAGAAGGAACTGGGAAATAAACTATGGCTTAAAAGGCAGAGATGATACCGAAACAGGGTGAGAGCGAGAATACAGGAGGGAGAAGAAAATTTTGTTGGTCCAAAGGAAAAAGGAGGAGGAGGAGGAGAAGGGGTGGGGGTGGGGGTTGGGGATAGCATTGCCTTTTCTTTTGGATTATTTTTTCCAGTTTATAATTCTTTCCTTTTTTCTTTTTTCTTTTGTTTTTAAAGAATCTCACACCTGATATTCCACGTTCCATCCATTTCGGTTCACCAAGGACAATGAAGAAATTCTCTTGCCTTTCGTATTCCTCCTCATCTACTATTTTAACCCTTATGGTTTTCCTGTAGGGACAACAAGAGAGAGAGTGTGTCGACTGGGTAGGCAGGTTGGTTGGTTGCCTGGAACACAGCCTTTGCAATCATTCCCCACCACACGTGGCACATGCAGCCCTGTCCCGTCGTGGTGGTCTTTGACAGGACTATGGTGGACTGTGTTGATCTCATATGAAAAAAGTCTTAGCTTTTCTGGTCTCCTGGGTCATCAATGTTCTCAGGGGTGAGCAGGAAAGGGAGCCAGGAGGTAAGGACAGGTGGGAAAGAAAGGGGGTCTGGACAACTGGAACCAGAAGGAAGATGAGGTGGTGGGGGAGGAGTATTTAGAGCCTGCTGGTTAGTAAGAAGTAAGTTGGGAAGCACATTCCAGTGTGTGTCACATGGTAACAGTGGTGTTTCTCTAGGCCGCAGGTAAACTCTCTGCCCACTGGGGATGACCCAGAACCCTGTAGAACACGAAATATATCAGTGGAACACAGGGCTTGTGTCCCTTGAGTTGGTACCCACTTCTCACATGAGCCTTATAAAGAAAATTCAATGGAAGGCATTTAAGAAAGCTAGAGGGAGAGAGGGAGAGAGAGAGGAGAGAGGAGGAAAGCTGGCAGAATCTTATTGTTTTTCTCATGCTTTGTCTCAGAGGGGGCTTTGGGGGAACAATAAGTGTCAATCATCTGTCATAAGGCTGGCTCCCTAAATGCTGGCTAACCTGGGCTTGGGCACAAGGGGATGGAGGTCACTGCTCATCTTAACAAAACACAGCATCTTTTACAAACAGATCACCAGGGAAGCAGTTTTTTGAAAGTTGTGCCACTCTGAGATCTGATGTGATGTTGGCTCAGGTCTATGCCCATTAGGAAAGGTCACTGTGGTGGTTTCTCCCTGTCCTTCCTCTAGTGGTGGCTAGCAGGTCCTAGGAGTGAGCTGGGGTGTTCCGTTCTGAGAGAGAGAGAGAGAGAGAGAGAGAGAGAGAGAGAGAGAGAGAGAGAGAGAGAGAGAGAATATCCTGGGATCAAACCTCTCTCAAAGGACAAAGTGAATGAACAAATGACTCCTCAGGTGCTCAGCTTTTCCTATATCATACTGGAGACAGAGTTGGCTTTGCTATCAATAAAACAGTACACTGACCTGAACTGGTTTGCAGGGCACAGGACTTGTGCCTTTGTGGAGCATGTGAATTTTCCCATTCCTTTTGGGGCCAGCTCTTGGCTCTTTCTTGGACACCCTTTATACCTTGCTCAGTAGGCAGAAGGCAAAGCTTACTGATGATTGAAGCCCGAGGTATGGGGCCCTGGGGATGTCTACAAGATGGGAGCCTTCATGCTACACGGACTTCACAGTGGTGTGGGAATGGGTGCTCTGGACCTTAGCCCTGGATGAGAGGGGTGTGATGGATGACTTGGCCAAGGGATACTGCCTCCAAACTAGCAGCTCCCTCACCAGGATGGTCCATCCAGGACAGGAGGCCATGGGGAAAATGAGGCCCCTTCTGTTGGAGGTACAGCTCCACCCACTCTGAGAAGTCCCATGGCCCTGGCGCCAGAATCTTCTCTGGCATTATTTTAACTCTGCCTCCACACCCTGAGTAGAGTCAGTTATGCAGGTCTTGGACGGAGACCTAGGACTCAAACCTGTATCCTCAGCTGTCAAGGCCTGGGAGTGAAATAAGCACTAAAAAAGGGATGTGAATAAGATGACTTCCAAGGCCTGCTTTGGGGACATGGATAGACCATGATTCAAACACAGTGATTTTCAATTTCATGGGACTATAGGCTTGTCCCTGCAAACAACTGCCCCAGGAAATCTGCAGTGGGTTTATTCTAGTGCTGCTCTCTGCCTGGTTCCATCAGCTGGCTTTTTCTTTCCTGTAGGCAAGGCTGAGAGTCTCAGTATCATTGTCTAGGTTATAATCATTCTGTCTCTCTGTGTCTGTCTGTCTGTCTGTCTGTCTGTCTGTCTGTCTCTCTCTCTCTCTCTCTCCCCCCGCTTCTCTCTTCCTCTCTTTCTCCCCTCATTTCCTCACCCTCCCAATACTGCCATTGGCTCTCGGGCAACCCTTCCCCCACTTGGATACCATGTGACAGGTTGGCAGGTGTTAGGACAGAGCTGGGAGGGAGACTGGAGAGAGGAGAGGGAGATGGAAAAGAAAGCAAGAGAAAGAAACCAGTGAAAGGGGGTCAGAGAGGTAGAAGACAAAAGGAGGAGAAACAGATTGACAAAAGAAAGAAACAGAAGAGGAAGAAAGAATGTCAATGTTAGTGTGGAGGACAGGGTACTACACCTTTCTGAAAACTCATATCCACCATGCGGGGGCCCATCATCTCAATGAAGTAATTCTTGTTTTTCTCATACGCCTCATCATCAATTACCTTGATGTGAACTGTTTTGCTGTGGATGGAAAAATAAGTATCATAAGCAAGGAGCAGAGTAGGGCAGGCTATCCAGGAGGAGAAGCAGGGAGAGGAGGAAGCAGCAGGTATCCAGGAGAGGCCCTCCACACCCCACACCACGTGGGCACAGGGCAGAGTGGCTGCCTGGCTCCCCTCCAGCCCAGTGGCCTCCTCCTGGCTTTGTGTGGCTTCATGGCCTGGCCATGCTTGGAGAGAGCCAGCCTTCACAGTCCAAGGCTCAGGGTTCTAATTGTGGATTCCATGTTCTCTTGGACAAATAATTTAATCAACACACAAACAGAATGAGTAATGCTTTCACCCTCCCAGGATGGTTATGAGAGCAATCGAATAGCGCACAATCTCCCCGCTGCCCCGTATCCATGACAGATATGGTATCAGACCCCAGAGGACAATGTACACTATGTGTTTTCCTATGCACACATATGATAAAGTTTCAATTTTGTACTAGTGGCAATAAGACATTAACAACAACCAACAACAGGGCTGGTGAGATAGCTCAGCGGACTAAGCACTTGTTTAGGCAAGCACAGGGACTGGGGTTCAATCCACATTGGCCCCTTCCCTGGGTGCACTGAACCAGCCACAGAGACCAAGTGTGGTGGCACCTGCCTGTAATCCCAGAACTGGGGAGGCTGAAAATAGGAGGCTCACTACAAGTCCAAGTTGTATAGTGAGACCCTATACCAAATACATAAAAAAAAACCCAATAATAAAACAGACTAATTCTAACAACGTACTATAAGAAAAGTTATTTCAAACATATGCATTATTTACTTCTGGAACAGTAGATAAGGGGTTATTTCTGTATATAGATCAATGCTCAGGGGTGAAGGCCCTCCTGTAATGTTTGTTTCTGTATCCTTTCACTTTTAGGACAAGGGAAATTTCTTGATTTTCAAAGTCAGTTGAAAATCAACTGTTAATTTAAAAGACTTATGTCCCAGAAAGGGCAGAAAGAAAGGAACATATGGACCTATGGGAATCTTGTCCAGAAATAATAGAATTTTCCCCTTTCTGTGTGGCAAGGATTATCACGGGGCAGCTGGGAGAGCTGTTCGACTCTTGTCACACATTCTGGTGACTTACAGGGGGTTTCCAGGATGGCTGGCACTGTTTCCAAACACGCATTGCCACGACAGCACACACTGGTGGGGCCATGTCAGCTTTAACATGTGCACTCTGGGCCACGATTGGTTTCCAAGCCCTGTGGTGATCTTGGTGAGGCGCATTTGTATCACTTGGTGTTGAAAAGTATCATTTTGTTAATGTAAATATTTGAAAACAGAAGCTGATTTAAGTAACTCTGCTTTGCCTTTCTTCTTCTTTCTTAAAATACTAGTAGTTAAGGAGAGGAAGGAAAAGTAAAAGAGATAAGATACAATATGAATATGTATCTGTTCCCCAGGATGACTGTATTTATGTTGTGTCACAAACCTATACTTAAAAAATGCTACTAGTTGATGTAAAAACAGTTGGGATGGACCTCTCTCTCATTTTTGCCAAATTAGGGGGCACACTTCGAGGCCACACCTCAGCCACGATGGCAGCCTCTCCTGGGGTGTGATAGGACAGAGAGCTGGCCCTCCCGGCAGTGGTGGGTGTGGAGAGGCGCCAGCAAGGCCTGGGTCTGCTCCCAAGGGCATTCCCACTCACACTCTGCTCCCAGAGTCCCTCGCTGAGGACAATGAGGCCTTTGCCTCCTCCCTCCACTCTTTTTCTGTGCTGTAGGAAGACCTACAGCACAGAAATTGGGGTAGCCTCTGCTCTCCTGGGGTTTCCTAGGTCACCACACAGCTCTGACTAGGCTCCCCCAGAGCCTCCGGGTCCACACTGCAAACCCTGCAGAATCAGCCCTGACTCATCACCTCTGAAGTGAACGTCGCAGCAGTTTTTTGCACACTCTGTTCCTGCTGCTGGGCTCATGATGGAAACAGACACCACCCCACCTTCACCACTTGCCCGACCCAGCCTGGTCTCAGAAAGCCCCGGCTCCGCGGGCAGCTCAACTCTGCACCCAGGAAGCACAGCTCTGCAGCTTCCCTCCCTCTGACCAGTGAAGACCAGGACCTCGGCTGAACTCGTTCCTCCACCTCTCATCAACTGGGCGACCATGAGCAACTTGCTGACGTTTTCCAAGTCTCATGTACAATGGAACAATAATACCCACTTTATGGAGTTCTTAGAACAAGAGAGTACACAGCAGTCCCTTAGCAGGTTGTGTGCCTGCTCTTAAGTGTTTAATATAAATAGCAACCATTTCCAAGGATAATAACAACCCCCAGCGTGGTAGTCTGAGAAGAATATGTAAGGGGATTTATCTACAGCCATTAAGCCAGAAAATCTGGGGAAATCAATAAATTGAATTGGTGACCCAGGAGGCCGTACTGGCTGGGGGCAGAAGTCATGGGCTGGGTAGCTTGGGAGGTTAAACACCATGTGGGTGACAGGAGGGCTTGGAGTGTTGAGTGGCTGCCACTCCCTCCCTCTCAGAATCTAGCCTCTGGTCCTGTCAGTGACAAGGCCCAGGTAGCACAGACTACTACGGGTTGCACAACACAGCAGGGCTAGGGCTTGAATTTGTTCTGCTTTCTAGTGAACGTC